AAGGTGAAACACTTTAGGATAAGCTTGTTGCTGATACGGCTCTTGGGAGTGCAAGTGGGTTTATAAACCTTAACATCTGGGTCCTGAGGTAGAACTCGTGCATTTGGTTGAATAACACTACTTGCCAGTAGAAGTAAATGTAATCAATGAATGTTACATTTATCATCTTCCCTTTTTTATTAGGCTTTGATATAGATTACAGGACGTTATTCTTGCATTATTATTCTATAATCATATAATTTAGTGCAGGCATCTCAATAAACTTCTTGTGTGAAAAGCTTTTACGTCTTGGTGTTTACTTCTCCAGCTGAGATCTGTCCACTTCTATTTTAGTCTATAGCTTGCGAGGTACTGCATCTCACTTAAAACAAGCTATTCTTTAGAAAAACTTACTTGGTTTTATTATAGCACATGCTAAGCATCCTGGCCCACAAAACACTGGGGGAAGTTGACTCTCGGGGGTGTTACTATGGGCTGATGTGATTTGTCCTGAACTTTTTAAAGTTAGCATGAAATGATCTGTTTCTCATCAGATCACATGATGTGAGGAAGGACTCTGGAGCACTCTTACATGCTCCTACTTAATCCATCCTAGAGAGTAGGGGGACAAACAAGTCTTCCAGAACATATAGTGGTGAGTTTAGGAACTTCCACTGGCAGCCCGTCTTATAAGTATAGGAATCCTTGCACTAAGGGAGAGATGGGGAAGTGATGAGGTTCTTGAGATGAACACTGTCCCACTGGTGAGAGTGTTTGCAATGTCCTGGGCACTGCAATTTGGAGCTGCCCAAGTGTTTTCTGTGTTGTGCCAAAGTTCAAGTGGATTAATCCTAATACATCTGAATACTCCTAATCAGTTTCATTGCCTGTGTTGGTAGTTTAGGACAAGGGATTTATCCCTTTTATGGTAGTGCAACAACTCTGTTGGAAACTTTTGAGGCTGGGCAGAAGAATGTCGTTTCAACTAAGTTATGAACTGTTTTATCTTTTGACAATATGTAAACTTCTTGTATGAGCCAAATGTCATGGCACCTACAGAGAAATTGTAGGGGAGTGCAGGAAAAAGCAGAGAAACAAAACAGTCTTTTGGGCTGTGGGCAGCAGTTGCTCCCTGACTTGAGTCGCATGTGATAGCTCGTGGTTCTTGGCCTTGCTTTGGTCAGGTGCTTCAGCTTTAAGCAATATCATCTACATAGGGCTGAAGTCTTGCACTTCAGTGCTCCTTTTACACTCTGTTTTGAGACACAGACACTGAGCTCAGGTCAAACCGTCTGGAGTATTTAAGTACCACATACCTTTTCCTTAGCTGATAGTAATGCACAGACCATGATACAGTACAGTAAAACCCTTACTGATGGGAGTCTTCCAGTGCAGCAGTTTTAGTCTTAAGGATTTATCTGACAGAGCTAGGCTTCTCTTTAGAGATTAGAGTGGAGATTGCATTTGTCCACAGATTTCAGTAACTGTGCGCTACAGTGAACTAACACTGGTTGTTTAGTATATAATTTTCAGTCAAACAATAATCATTGTGTAGGCATATAAGCGACTGATCCTTATATAAGCCTTTATAGTATTTTGGGGGGGAATTTGTAAGTGATCAGATTTTCACATCTGTCTTTAATCTGTTTCATGATCAAAGTACAGCATCTTCAGTATATGCAAGGTGTTAAGAGATCTTATTGTTTTGCTGTAATACACATGCAGTGGCTGAAAAGATTGTTCATAACGTCTATATTTACAACAACCTGACTAATACTTAAGTGGTAGAACTGTTGGGTGAGATGTTCTGCATGAATGTGGATTTCCTATACTTAGTGCTGTAATTGCTTCTTGGTTTTTGCTTTAATGTATGTAGTTACATGTCACTTGAAATATGTAATGCTTGCTGTGCCTTGCCCAGCAATGGTAACTGTCTGGAGGTAGCCTATGTTAATACTGCTTCTGCACTTAAGACTTAATGCTCCTTTGAAGCTGCTGTCAATCTTGCCATTAAAAGAAATGTCATGTGCCTGCCAGACTTTAGTGTGCGCGCATGGCTCCACTGAAGACAGTGTTTAAGCCTTTAGTTCAAGAAAATCTTCTTGATGTATATATTTTTTTCCTCTCTCCTCTGCAGCAGAAAATCTAACCTTTTCCATGTGTTAATGGAAACAAAGCCTGCTTGGTGAGAAGAGTTCAAGTCCTCAGTGTTCATTCTAATTACTCAGCCCTTCCAGTATGATTCACATTTCTGTGCCTGGCTTTCTTAAGACTTGAGTCCGTAAATCGTAGCTTCAAAAATTTTTCTCCAATACCTGCAGTCCTTACAAAGATTATTTCCTGGGCTTTGTAGGTAGTACCTCATTTGTTGCTGCTACAACTTTTCACCCCTCCCTGAAATTGTTTTGTATGTTTTAACTGTAAGATCATCATATAGAGTGGAAGCATTGCTTAAGAAGTGGTATATGGGCTAGGGAATCAGCGCCTCAGATCTATCACTTTGGCTACTTTTTTTTGTTGTTTCTGTAAGCAAAAATTGTAACTCAAGGATTCAGCAACTTAAGCTGTTGGTGCGTTTACTCTTGAATGCTTTTGAAATACTGGCGTTGACTTCAAGTGAAGCAAATGCCTAATGCAAAAACACAAGTATTAATCTCAGCAGCATCTGTGGGATTTCTTGATTTTTAGACAAGAGCAGCGTTCGGGAGACTGAAAACTAAATGTTCTAGTTGTATACCATGATGGAAGCCATAGCTGAACTTGGTGTTTGGGTGACTTTGCTAGGCTTGTGCTGGCTGCCCAGTATGGAAATATGTTAAAAGCACTGAAATCAAACAATACCTGGTAGTGCTCAGCTCCCGTGTTGGGGAGTAACCTAGGTATCTGAACTGTGGAATGGATAGCTGTAGGTGAACGCTGACTAGGAAAGGGCAATTTGTCGTACTTATCTTCCCTGGAAAAATAAGAAGGCATGTGTCTTGGTCCTATTTTTCACAATATGGGTAATCTAAAGGCTCAGTTTGTGTCCTAGGGAGCTGTCAAATTTAACAAAATTCTCAGTGAAGGAGGGGAGCTGCTAAATGTTTGCCTTGGAAAATGTAGAGCCATACTCAGCTGCACACTGGCAGTAGGCACACCCTTCTCAAGGAAGCAACCTCTTTGCCTCTGTTACCAGAAGCTTTTGTTGCCCATTGAAGTATAACTAGATGGAAGAAAACTTCACTTTGAAGTGTTTTGGGAAGGGGGAAAAGGGGGAAGGAGAAATGGGAAAAATAACAAGTAGATTGTAGTTTTTGTGTTTGATCTTTGATTATGTTGAAGTCACCTACAATGTGTCCCCCCCTTAAGAGAGGAGCACGTTGCTTTCATATTTACAGTTATTGTATTTGCCCTTTGGAGAGCTGCTCTTCAGAGCCCAGTTCAGCAAATAATCTAAGCCGGGCAGGAGTATTAGTTTTTCATAAGGAGCTTTCTTTTCAAATAATAATGCACACCTCTCTTTATAAGAACATGTGATTACCATTCCTGGTCTGCATGGCAACAGCTGAATATGCCTCTGTCTAATTAGAGCCAGGCTTTTTTTTGGTAGGCATCTGTCATGTTACTTAGGTAACAAACTACATGACTGGAGGGACTTAGTATGTGTAAAGTAAATACAAAAGAAAGCCTTATTGTGTTGGCATTACCACAGTCATTAGAATAGGAAAATTGTTTTGACCCTAGCTACCTTTAGAACTTAGTAAATAATAGAATGCTGTTAAGATGTTTCAGCTTGGTTGCAGTCAGAGATCAATTCTTACTCTAATATAATCCTAGCAAACTCCATGAGTGTACCATTTTGATGTACAACACAAACAATCTTTTGTATTCAGTTTCCTCATCTGTTCAGTGGTCTGTAAAACATTGTATGTGGTTGGGAGGTGGAATTTGAGGCAACTTTGAAATCTGCCAGCTCTTGGTTTCTGATAGTTAATGTTGCTTGGGGACTTTACTTCTGGGGTAGGTCTAAACTGTTAACGTGGTTAACCTTCTTTATTAAGATACAAGTTATCTACTGAGACTGAGGCATGTTTAATTATATTGCGTATTATAGGAGGGTTATATTACACTTGGGACTGAGCAAATATGATTTAAAACTAAGAAAAACCTTTAATTTTAGTTTGAAGAAGCTAATAGCATTTCAAAGCACTACTCTTATGGTAAAAATGAAGACACTGTATGCTTTCAATCTGGATGCATGCCTTCATTCAACCAGATTAGTTATCGTGACTTAATATTGAAATCTGACCACTTAAAATTCCTTTATAATATCACATTGAGTATATTATTATCTGATTTTGCTGAGAGGTACTAGCAATAGGATATCTATAGCCTATAATACTAGAAATGTTGTCGTGCTGTCTTTTTTTCTTCTAGACACCTGGTTCAAGTAATAACTGACATGCACTGAACCTAGCAGTGTCTTTGTCTGAAAGAAAACCAGATGAAACTGAAATACAACCGGACCTATCTAATAAGATAGGGTCTTACTTGATCATCTTGTTTAGCTTCCCCCACTGTGATTCTACTCCAGTGTCCAAAATAGGGCTTCTCCTAAAACAGTGTGCTATATTATCTCTTGTTACTGTTTTACTATGAGGAAGATACAGCTGAATCTCACTGGATGGCTTAGGCCTGGGGATGGGCAAAACGAGGGAGAAGAAAAGGATTAAAGCAAATAAAGGCTTGGGAGACTGCCATTCTCTAACCTTGTACATAGACAGAGAATCCCATTGACCTGAAGTGCCCATGGGTTAAGGAAGCATGCTGAGTGAGTCCTACTGTGTGATACCTCTTCTGTTCTGTTCTTCCTTATAACACAGATAACTTGTCGTTTCCTGCTTATTCTATGCTTATCTTTATAGTCTTTGAACCATTTATAACTCTGGCTTTAGAAGCCTAATTTAAAGCTGTTTGCCATAGTCCCTGCATGATCTTCAGATGGAGTACTAGAATGAAAACCTTCCTCTTCTAACCTGCAGCACAGCCAAGTACAGCGTGGTGACGTTTCTACCTCGATTCCTGTATGAGCAGATAAGAAAAGCTGCAAATGCATTCTTCCTCTTCATTGCCTTATTGCAGGTATAGTGTTATTGTTTTGCCTTCACTCTAAAATGAAAAACTGTAATGCAGTATAACAGATATTTCAACTTGGTATTTAACCACAAAGAAGTAGACATGCTTGAGCATATGTTAAATAGTAATGTTGATGAGGTATGTGTTTTTAAAAGATAGGCCATTCACTTTACCACTATGATTAGAAGTTAAATGGAAGATTTTTCAATATATTTCCTAAGATAAAACTGTTTATTTTTCTTAATAGGTAAATACAAATAACAATAGTACCATAAAATATGAAGTTGTTGACTATACAGAAAAATAGCGTGTACAGATTCTTGTGAAACTACTGGTTGTTCAGATAATGTAGATATTCACCTGGAATCAGTGATTTACATCAGTTGAATGCTTGGCTTAGGGAGAGAGGAGAAACGAAGAATAAAAGGCCTGTAGAACAATTTCACTTTCTTGCTTTACAGTGGCAATTTCTTCAGATCTGTTTAGAGCTCTGACATCTCTGATTTGGGTGTATGTATTAGCCTATAAGGCACAAACTGGAATTCAAGCTCTACCTTTTCTCTTGTGAGAGCGTTTCATAAAATTCTAAATTTGCCGAAACTTTAAAATACAAGTATATAATGGATATCTTCTTTTTTTTTTCTGTTCACAGCAAATTCCTGATGTCTCTCCAACAGGAAGATATACCACCTTGGTGCCATTGCTATTTATTTTAACTGTTGCTGGCATCAAAGAAATTATAGAAGACTATGTGAGTACCGAGTATTGGGGGAGGTAGTGCTGAAGATAGAAAAGGGGCTAAAAATAATGGAGCTCCACAAAGCTGTGCATCTCTATCTTGCTGTGTGTCAAGTCATTGCTGAACAATTAGAAAATACCCTTTTGACTTTCAGAGCTGCTGACTCAACTAGAATTTCTATAGCATACTGAGCTAATTTAGGCATCTTCCGTTACAGATATATGGTGAACAAGGAAGTCGTATGGAAACACTTTATTGAAAGCCAGAACATTTCCTCCCACCTCTTCAGGAGTTATTTACTAGGGCTTTCATTAGAAAGGCCTGGTTAGGAAGACACAGTTGTTTCAGTGACACTGTAGAGTTCTGACAGAATTTAGCCTTTGTTAATTTTCAGAGCAAACTGTTTTGGAGAAAATTTGTATTAAGTTTTTAGATACTGTTAATAATAGTCTTTCTGCTATGCGAAGCCCTAGTGAATAAGTTAACTTTGAATTACAGTTAAAACAAATAGCATGTAGAAGGTGTACTCCACCTCTTGTCTAGATATGCCAGCATTCACTGTTCCTTGTTTCAGTTTTGGAGACTGGGTTTTTTTGCTGTTGATCCAAGTCTGAATTTGATTTCCGACATAAGAACTCTCATTTTAATGTTGCCTTTTTCCCTCCTTTTATCAGTCTCTGGGTTTAGGTGACTTGTGTGGGTTTTCTTTTTTGAAATCTAACGTAAAGGCAAAAAGGACTTCATGCATCCTGCAGTTTGTCATCTTTCTAGCTCTTGGGGTAATGGTTTTGGAATCTTAGTGTAATGAAATGTTTTATTTTCTTGCAGAAACGCCATAAGGCAGACAGTGCAGTTAATAAAAAGAAAACAATAGGTAAGACTAAACTGTCTTAAAGCTGAGTATGTATTTGAAGTGCAACTAGTGAATGCCAGAGCACTTAGTTTTAAATAGTTCTGTTGCTTAAACTGTCGTGATAGTGGTGAGTGCATGTCTCTTGAAGGAGTTACTGTTTTGTTAGGACTTTGCATTAGTGTGAAACACATAGGGTAGATGATGTGATACTTGTCAATTTTATTTAAAAAGAGTTTTAAAATGTGTAAGTGTAGTCTCAAGGCTCTCCAAAGTTATGCAATTTCCTACCAAGAAAACCAAATTTCCTCCCCCCAAAACTCCATTTTGATACTTTAAGTAAGTAAACTTTGAACTAGAAACTTTGAAAGATTGCTTCAAATGATATTTTAAAATCATTTTTCTTAAATGCTGCTGCCCTTAAAATACAGGAAGAACTCTGGGGATTCTATGGGTTTGCTTCCTTGAAATGCCAATGAAGGAAAAAGCTTTCTGCTAAATGTCTGTTTTCCCCCTCATATACTGGAAGCTGCTTGACGCTGAATACCTGAAAACTCCACTTGGATTTTCATGTCCCTTAACTGAAAACCTGTGCAGAAAATACAAAGAACTAATTTTGTGCTGAGTCTGATTGATTGCTACCTGACAATTGGACTTAGTGTGAGGACACGGGACTTCCATGATCCCTGTTGGACAGCTCCTTTGCTGCTCCTCTGTGAATTTCTGGACATCACTGACTGCAATTTACTGTTCAAGCTGAAAACAGAGCTTCTACTCAAAGCTCACTTTCCATTCTCCCGCATATGTTTTGGTCAAGTGTCAAAAAAAAAAGGAGAAATACTTAAGGAGCGGGGGAAACCAAACAATCCACTGGCTTTGTAGTTGAGTTATGAAGCAAAAATGCTTATGGGATTGCTTTCAGGGATGTATTTTTTCTTTATGCTTGAGAAGGTAAGTTTGTCATTCAGACTTTATGTTAATGGCTATCGGAGACAGCATTGCTCTATCCATTCTTGGAGGCGATTTCTCTTCCACAGTTTGTTGGGGAGATGCTTCAAGTACAAGTGCACCATATTCATTAGTTAATTATGGTAATTAACAAGGCCCGTTGTGCTACAGCTAGTTACAGGTCATACGAAAGACTGCTCTTTCAAAGGTCACGTAGGCAGTTCTGTCTAATTCAGTTGTAGTTAGATAGAAAACATGGTAATAAACATTAAGGGAAGCTTATCACAGTACGCGTGGAGAGACAACCTTAAAGAAAACAAGAAGATCTTATGGGGTTAGACAGAAATCGGTACTTGAAAAAGGTTGTTTTAAAAAACTCAGGTTTTATTCTTTACATTTAAACACTTAGAATACAATTTTCAAAATGGTACTTAGAACTCTATATGCTCATTTCTCTGAAGAGAGGAAGGTTAGAGGTCTAGTCATGAGACATGCATTATGAGAATGAAAAGCTAGTTCATGTTTGGGGTGGGATTAAGATGCATTAAATTTAGGTGTCTGTATGTGCCTTTAGTAATCTAAAATTCTCTGTGCTGAGTGAGATCTAGTTAATGCAATCAATTTAGAGAGCAATGCAGCTCACCTTAAAGCTGACATCTCCTGGTTGGCTTGCCGAGCTGTATTCTGTACTCTGCTGCCTGCAATGAAGAGATGCTTGCTTTACTAGGCTTTGCATTTATCTTTGTTTAATTTTGAGCTGTCAGTAGTGCAGTTTTAAAGCAAATTCTTCACTGAAAACTTTGATTTAGTACAAAGAATGGGTTTGTATATGAATTAAATTGCCTTGGGAGGAAACTAAACAAGAAGTTCTGCTCTCAGCGTGCACAGTACATCCCCTTAAGGGATCAAAGCATGCTAGGCTCTGAGCCAACGTTGCACGTCCCAGATAGCTTCAAGTGGCATGTGTGGAGAGGACATTGAAGCTAAGGTCAAGACTAAATATAATCCTAAGTGAAGACTCTGAACAGCGTATTGCATACATGTAGAGAGCTCAGCACCTCTTGTTTTTCATCTATTGATCCAGTCCTATTTTGTTAAATTATGGGATAGCCGTGAACATTTATACTGTATGGCGTGCCCTAGAAAAGCAGATGCCAGTACAGGGCTGGTGGATTCTTCCCCAGGACCGATGGTAAATGCATGTCCTTCGTGAGCAGCAGCTGGAAGCCATGTGAGAGATCCCAGTTCACTTCAAATGACCACAGACACTTAGGTGTGGCTGACTACATTAAATTCTAGCTCTCCACTGACTAGAATGGGAGTTCAGATATCAGCTCATATGTCGGCACTTATCAGGTATCTTAATCTCAGATCTGGCCTTCATATTCCTTGATTCCTTCACAGTGATTTTTATCTTAGACCTAGATGGAACAGATTTATAGTGAAACTGTTTTTGAGTAGAAGAATTCTTTAAGACACTTGTTCTTGGTCATGTTGACCAAATCATATTGTAAATGAAAAATTTACCGATTTTGCACTCCTATAAATAGCTTATAGAAAGTATTTGTCCTGTGGAGTACTACTACAACAGTAGGCAAAGGAGAGTAGAAGGTAGAAAACTGCAACACCCAAAACTCTGAAGCACTATGTGCAAAGTAAGCTTTGTCCTTAGCTTTTGAAGTTATCAGTGTTCCCCCTCTCCCTCACCAAAAGCAGATACTTCAGTAATTTGCTTGACTACTTAATTTTAATGGCTAAATTGATTTCAGTAAGCATGAAAGCTAAACTGTTTTCCTGTAACAAGAGAGCATATTATTGTACACGAAGGCCAGGTTCACGACTCAACTCAGGTTGAGTTACTAAGTGACTTCATTGTGTGTGAACGTACAACCGTGTGAGCCACCTGCAGATGGAAGCTGCTTAAAGCTAGAAATAGGAGATGCTAAGCATTCTGGTCTGTCTTTGAGAGTTTAGGTTCTTGAGTCGAGGCTGTGGGTATGCGTGTCTCACTTGAGATCCTAGGGTCAAGTTTTCTCTGCTCTGAACTGAGCAGAGCTCAAATTAAATGCAGCTTAGCAGATGGAAGCAAGTGGGACAATAAACCTATGCGCTGACTCTGAACTACAAGATACTTGTCCAGGTGGAAGCTCAAAGGTTTAGACACATCACTACCCGTGCTTCTGTTGCTGCCCACATATTTCTCATTAAACAGTGGCTAGATCATAATGAAGTAAACTACAGTATTAGAAGTATAGATAATCAGGTCTATGCGCTCCCAGGTGTGTTACCTGACAGCTTGGATCAAGAGATGGGCTGCTTCTGCTCTGACCTGATGAATCTTGTGTTTGTGGAGTGGCCTAGCTTGAGTAGGGCAGCTGAAGCTGCATCCAATCAAATTCTATCTTCTGGGGCTTTTTCCTGTTCAAGATGAGCTACTTATATGAATTACATAGCACTGAAGAGAATTTTTTATATTGTCTATAGCCGGAAAGTGAGGGGACTGGGCTCTTCAGCTTTCAGCTGTTAGACCTTTCAAGCCTTTTGAAAATGGGCTGCAGCTACCTTCAGTGAAACGCTTGATCTTGTTTAGGTATACTTGATGTGTTCACAACTGAACTGAATGTCTTGGACTTGGTTGCTGAAGGATGATGGAACATAAGTATTTGACTTTACTATTTAGGCTAGAATAGCGCTAGGTATGTGCACAAGCAATTAGGAGCATCTAGAAGAACTATTCAAGTGAAAAGACATGTTCCAGGGTAGATGACCAATGAGTGTGTCAGGACAACGGTGTGGAACTTGGACACTACAGAAGCTTAAGGTCTGTTTCAGGACCTTGCATTTTTTTTTTTTTTTAATTTTAGCTTCAGCATTTAGAACTTTATACTTCCACCAAAGCTAATCTCTGCTTCTCAGTAGGGTTTAGAGCCTGCTTGACACGCAGCTCCCTGTATAGCACTGAAACTTGAGGTGACAGTGAGGTTGGATGGGTCAGTCAATGGCGGCTTTTTCTTCAGATAAGATATTTCCTGGAAGTGAGTAAAATGTGGGGACAAAGTAAGAATTAAAAACTCTGTGATAAATCATTTTGTATGATGAATATGTCTGCTGGTGTTGATTGGCAATGGGCAATAGTACCTTTTTATTTTAAGGAAGTTCAAATTTCAGCTGGATAGCGATGCCTAACTTCTGTGCATCAGTTTGAAATGAGGCCAGGAAGAAATCAGGGCACCATCTATTCTCTAGCAGATGATAATGACTGCTTATAAATATTAACAGTAGATTCTTCTGTTTCTTGTATGTACATATCTACAGCTGTGGACAATGTGTGGTCCCAGCTTCTGAAAAATACTTTTCTGATGTGTGTTTCCACTCCAGTTAAGGTCCCCTACTGCTTATTTATGTATGTTCAGAACTTTGTCTAGTCTTGGATATTTATTTTGATCTAACTTTGAATTTTCTTTCCAGTTCTAAGAAACGGGACGTGGCAGAACATTATTTGGAAAGAGGTAAACAAATTTTTTTTTGAATTTGTCTTGTGGAATGAATTAAGAGGACTAGAGTTAATTTGTATCACGTGAGAATTTGTGACTTGGAGTGGGAGGGATCCCTTCTGTTACAATAGTGAGAATTACCCTGAGCAGCTGAGTACCCACCTTTAAATCCTAGTACTATGCTTCAGTCAAATGCTAATGAATTGTTGTAAACCTATTTGCTTGGACAGTTGATGTGCTCTAGGGTGCAAACATTATTTAGTGTTCTAAAACTGGACTGAAAACAGACTTTCTGTGCAAAATATAAACGTGATGCATCAACTATACTTTCCTGGAAAAAAAACTTATGTTCTGGGACTAGTTAGTAGGCTGTTTGCTCAAATAAAGCACAGGTCCTGCCACTACCATAGTCACTTGGAACCCAATTCCTGTGAAGCACTATGTAAGAACCCTTTAATATTTGTTTGTAGAACTCACTGTAGTCCCTCAGGATGCATTGACCTAACTGTGGCTCTTCCAACTCCTTCCTTGTTAAGGACAGAACTATCTCTGTTAGCTGTGATAAATGTTAGCTGTGATGCACAGAAGTTAGCCTCCCACCACAGGAGGCTTGAATGCAGGTCAGGAAAAAGTACATCCTTTAAACGTTCTGAGATGATACCCACCACAGGAGGCTTGAATGCAGGTCTGCTGAAGTGTTAGGCTGTAATAAAAACTGAAGATTGCCAGGAACTCTGAAGCCTAATGCTGATGTCTGCCTACAGTGTTCCATGTCCTATTTGTAGTGAAGACACTGAACTGTAAGATGGCATCAGAAGCTGAATTTGGAATCTGTTTTTCTTAAAGCCTTTGCTTTCTTAACAACTTCTTGAATTAGCCTATGTCTGCATCTGCCTGTTGTCCATGCTTGCATTTGTTGTTAGGGAATAACTGTTGTGTGGTATCCGACTCCTTTAACTTAAGGTAGATTTTTGATCTCTTTCCTGCT